CAAGCAGGTAGGAATCACAGAAGGTTTCTCCAGAGCTATTCGGAGCCTTAAAAGCCAAAGGGGCTGACAAAAAGTGCTGCTATTTAGGTAAGACTTTGGAGTAGAGGCACAGACTGCCCCCCAATACACAGCTGAATATGAAGGAGCAAGTTCCCCAAACAAAGAAGGGGCTGGCTTAACATATTTTGAAATAGGTGCAATAATACATATTTCCATTGGGATGGATGGATGGATTTGAGAGTTTAAAATTACCTAACAACACCCAAATACTTGGCACTGGTAAGAGACCTGCTCATACTGGTTTTCTTGATAGGTTTCTTTCAGAGAGCTTCTGGGTTAAGCAAGGGCACAGAGAAGGCATTTCAATTGCTCTGTCTAAAGGAGACTGAAGGCTTTACAAGCCATGTGCCTTCCATTCATCTGCTACTGCCGCAGCAGGGGTGGGGGAAATAACTTAGTAAGAAAGAAGACAGATGCATGCAAAATGATGCCATTAGAGAATGCTTTGCACTGCCATTTAGTCAAGAATTAGGGCAAATTACGTTAATCTAGCCTGTCTTAATCATTACCATGTTACACTTCAGAGCTTAAAAGATTTAATCCCTTTTTATGAAATTCAATTAGGCTTTACGAAAATTAATCATAAATGTTTTATATAAATGGATCGTGGGTAAAAATAAACTTACATAACCATTTCAGCAGATTTTCTGTCTGCAAAGTGGCAATTTTTAAAAAAATCAATGTCTCATGCCATATTCCTTTGCCGTATTATTTACCACACAAATTGCTTTATCATTTGAATGAGGATATGCCACTGAAGACCAATTTAAAAACCTGAGGTGACACAGCAAGTTAAGGAAGAACAGCACTATTCCTTTTATATTTTCTTAAAGGGCAGTGGTTTTTGAGCCCCATTCGGTGGGAGGGACTTGACACTTTTGCCAGTTGCAAAGTTGGCCCCTATACTTGCACACTCACAACTCCTCATCCGCCACCCAGGTAAGCAAAATACATTGATAACAGTCCAAGGACATATACCAGCCAGGCAAAAGCACTTGAGGAGCGTATGGAGCAGGCTGCTGAAGGCTGTGTCCTAGGGACTCAGCGCCAAGCGCTGGACGAAGAAGCCCAGGGGGCCACACCCCTCAGCTAAATAAACTCCTCTTAAACACAAGGCAAGCAAGATTTTGACACTGTGGGGAAAACCCTTGTGGTCTCTTCCAATTCTACAATCCTATGTACTTAAAGTCTCAGTTCAGTTGAGGATGAAAAATTACCTGGTTAACCCAAAGACTTGATTGGAAGGTTCGGTTTAAGGAGCTATTTGAAGGAAGATATAGGAACTCATAAATGAGCTGGAAGCAAATTCCAGGAAACAGCAAGAGAGGATGGGTGAAATTATTTTACTGAGCAGGAGACTTAAAAAGATTACATTAGAATTTGTTTTCCATGCATTTTTGGAGGAGAAGTCACAAGCAGTGTGGGATCTGTTCTGCAAATATGACATCCTAATGTAACTTTTCTACAGGTGTGTTCTTAGTTTGTGGATCCCATGTGATAGCTAGACCTCACAGCAGAATAATAATAATAATAATAATAATAATAATAATAATAATAATAATTTATACCCCACCCATCTGGTTGGGTTTCCCCAGCCACTCTGGGTGGCTTCCAACAAAATATTACAATACAATAGTCTGATAAACATTAAATTACTGCATTACTGTTTCATGGGATTTAAAAGCAAAACAAAACCCCAGGCCTCAAACAATTCTTTTTGCACATTATCTTCATGTGCAGATATTGCCTTGCAGAGGTGCCAGTATAATGCCAGGAAAAAGCAATACTGGGATATCTCCTTTCACTCTTGCACTTTTAACAGTAAGTGTCTCTTAAGAAGTGCTGAATATCAGCCAAGATTTCCAATGATTCTCAAAGTCGCTCCCGAACTGCTGACACCAGCAGGAATAGTGTTCTAAATAATTTATTGACATTTCTACATAAATTAGATACTTGGGGTGAAGATGCCATGAACCTTATGAAAGGCTGAGTGCTTGCTACACGGTCTACAATCTGTCAGCACAACGGACAAGATTCCAAAGAGGCTTCACCACCAGCTATGCTTCCAGCTGGGAGACAGTTCAAAGTGCTCTGGAGACTGCTTTATGTTGGCCACAAGGTCAGCCATAGGAAAACAGGAAGGGAAAATGACAGGCAATGTTAAATGTAAGTTAAAGTGATGCACATGGAGGCAAGCAATGATAACTGTATACGCTGATGGGGTTTGAGTTGGTGACCGCTAACTGGGACAGAGATCTGGGGTCATGGTGGGAAGCTCAGCATGTATACTCAGTGTGTAGCAGCAGTGAAAAAGGCAAGCTCCTTATTAATAAAAGAACAGAACATAAAACCGCCTGCAGATCCTTTATATAGCAGATCCTTGGGTCCCCAGGTACTGTTGGGACTGCAACTCCCATCATCCTCAGACAGGGCAGCCAATCGCCAGGGATGATGGGAGTTGTAGTCCAGCAACATCTGTGGACCCAAGGTTGAAGAACACTGCTATATTGACATCTATGGAACAGCTGTATTTGGAATAATGGCCTGGATAGCCTCTATATTGTTGCATGGGAAAAGGGCATCTGAAATGATCAAGGGACTGGGAAGTCTTCCATATGGGGGTGGGACTAAGGCATTTGGGCCTTTTTATTTTAAGGGAGGAGTGGTGAGGCAACTGAGAGGGAGAAAACTGAGAGGGAGATGTTAAGAGAAGACTTCAAGACAGTGAACAGTATGAACACAGCGGATAAAAACAGATTTTCATAATACTAGAAATTGGGGTCACCCAAGGAAATTGTGGGACAGTGGGTTCAGAACTGTGAAAAGGAAGTGCATAATTCACCTATGGAATTAACGGCCAAGCATATATATTAGATCAGTGGTCCGGGGAAGTGCAAGTAATTAACTGAAGAAACCACGGCCATCAACACCGCAAGTCCTGCCTTCCAAGCTCCATTTTGTATCTCCTTATCTTGTTCATTTGCTGTTTAATGCAGCTTTCATTACTGCTGCTTGTTCCTATAAAAGTACAAATAAATAAGCACCCTCGTGTGCTCCAGCTGAGCATCTTCATAAAACAAAAAGTACGGTTTCCTACTTTCTTTTTTTAAATAAAAAAATGGTTTTAAAATATTGATGCAATTAAAATTAATGTATTGCAACCGTGGCCATTTGCTTGCAATATTTCCTACAGTGCTTAATCGGTTATTCTACGCTCGCTCGCTCTTTTTCATTTTATAAACAGCCATGTGAAACAATCCATCCCAGGACTTCCTTTACCACTGGAGCCATCTGCTCACAGTCCGTCTTCACTACAAAGCTTCACGTGTCTAGCTAATTACCAGTTACCAGTTGATTCTCAGAAGTGCCACAAGAACAATATGAACACCTCGCATATTTACTACAGATAAATGCCAATGCCTCCACAAATGCCAGTCCATTTGACTAAATAGCCGGCTTATCTCCACTACAGCAGTAGTTCCAATCGAGACACATCACAATTCCTCACTATTAGCAGCCAAAATGGGGGGGGGGGGGGGATGGCAAGAAAAATTGGTGTGCTCCTGTAAATGTGTTCAGATGTTTAAACAAATGTTCAGCAGAAGAATTGCTAAATTATTCATACTTAGATGCTTTGATTGTACAGTCATCTGCCTACTTACCTTGCACAGTGGTGAATTGCTTTTGCGCAAGCAACATTTTCGAAGCCATCTCAAAAATTGCTCATTTCTCAGTCATTGGCCTCAGAAAAAAACAGCAGCTAAGTAAACTGTGTTTAGCTCTAAACAACCAAATCCTATCAAGGAAAGTACCTGCAAAGCCTGGCTTGAAAGCTGCATGAGGCAACTGGGGCAGAACTGCATGTTGAATTGCTCTGATGTTGACTCTGTGCTTAGAAATGCATTGCACATCTCCAGTCTATAATCCATTGCACATGCACCCACCCACCCTGCCATGCTAATTTTTGTAGCAAGCCCTTTTGTGAACTGCTTGGCATATTGGTATTTAGGACATACTGCACCAAGGGTGACTACTGTCAGGATAGTAGAACTGACCCACACTGTATTTCCCATGTCAGTTCATTGTTTTGATGTAGCAAGTCCCACATAGACCTGCATATCAACTAAGACCTTCTCCAAGAGCAGTTTCTTTCTGAAATTGGACAGGTGGTTAGCACCTTTTTTACTGGTGGCACCCAAATTGTGGAAATCTATTCCTAGGCATGTTCAGCTGCTGCCTTCATTGCTATCTTTTAGGTGGCAGGACAAGGTGTAATGACCCCAAGTCAAGCAGTGACCACAACACTGAATATGAGACTACCATGTCCATGGCTAGGTTCTTGGCTCTGACCCTGATACTGGTGAACATCAATCCTGAGGCTAGAAGGCAAGATCTTACACTATCAGTGCCTGTACAACCAGAGTCAGGACCCTCCCAGGTGTTTTCCCTTGGAGCCAAGGAACTGAATGCTTCCCACAGAATCATAGAGTAGAAAGTAACCCCAAGGGTCAATGAAAGCATCCATGACAGATGACCATCCTACCTTTGCTAAAAACAACAACAAAGAAGGACAGTCCACCACTTTCTGAGGGAGTCCATTCCACTGTTGAACAGCTTCTACTGTCAAAAAGTTCTTCCTAATACAGTGGTACCTCAGTTTTCAAACGTCTCCATTGATGAACATTTTGGTTTTCGAATGCCGTAAACCCGGAAGTAAATGCTTCAGTTTTTGAACACGCCTCGGAAGTCAAACATGCCACATGGCTTCCTCTGAGTGCAAGCTCCTGAGGCCTAGCTGTCAGCTATTGAATTTTCAGTTTTCGGTCTTCTGGAACGGATTACGTTCGAAAACCGAGGTACCACTGTATTTAGCTGAAATCTCCTTTCTTGTAACTTGCAGCCCTATATATATTTGAACAGCTCTTACTGTCAGAAAGTTCTTCCTAATGTTCAGCTGAAACCTCTTTTTCTGTAATTTGAATCCATTGGTTTCGGTCCTACCCTCTGGAGCAGCAGAAAACGAATTTGCTCCATCTTCCACATGACAGCCCTTGAGATATTTGAAGATGGCTATCATATCTCCTCTCAGTCTCCTCTTTTCCAGGCTAAACATACCCAACTCCCTCAACGGTTCCCCATAAGGCTTGGCTTCCAGACCCTTGATTATCTTGGTTGCCCTTCTCTGCCCCCGTTCCATATTATCAATATCCTTCTTAAATTGTAGTGCCCAGAACTGAGACAGTACTCCAGGTGTAGTCTGACCAAGGCAGAATAGAGTGGTACTATTACTTCCTTTGATCTGGACACTATATTTCTGTTGTTGCAACAAACCAATACACAGGGACAGCAGCATGAAATGCTAAATAACTATCCACCATCAGGCCACAGCATTGACCCAGTAAGAGACTCTAGTTCTCCAATAGGCTTGAAGCCTAAGAGAGGTGGAGGCAGAAGCGCAAGACTTCAATTCACTACAAGGCCTTACAAGGACCTCTTCATGGTGCTGACACAAAGAACCTGCCTTTCTCAATGGACTCCTCTGTGAAAACAGAACTGATGGTATTCATGGTATCTGATTGCTTTTTATCATATCTGGTTCCTATTTTTAACATATTTTTGTTTTAAATATAATTGTCTCACTAGCTTGTAAATATTATTGTTATCTGTTTCTAATCTTCTGCCTTTGTTTCCCATTTGTATTTTGTCTGAGTTTTTTTTAAAAAAACAACAACCCAGTTGACTTTTTATGCAGCAAATAAATCTCTAAATGAATAAAGAAATCAAGTCCTTGCATTTCATCTAACACATTATTTATCAAGGACATATATGTAAAAACTAAAAATTTTCAAGATAAAAAAATGTTATCTTGAGCAAATATATATGGATTAGGAGAAAATCCAAAGTGTTTCTATATTTTATAGTACTGTACTTTTGTTCAAGTCTCAGATTAGCAGTTGGGAAAATGTTGAGGGAGTTTTCTGAAAGCATTCAGAGCTAATCGAAGACATTTTGCTGCCTGATGCAGAACAGCAAATTGAGTCCCCCACCCTGGTCCAAGTCAAGATGCAGAGTGCCCAAGACCTGCCATGGTACTTTGGCACCTGAGGCAGAAAAATCCACAAGTAATCTTTCCACCACCTCCCATGAAGTAAAAATACAACGCATTAGGAAAAAAATAAAGAATTAGCAGACAGCTGCCCTTTCATGACACTCAAAACCAGATGCCCAAGGTGGAGACTTCAGTCTGTCTAATCATTTTTTAAAAACAGCAAAAACAAAACAGGAACCAAGTGCAACACAGAACAACTGCTAAACTATATAAAAACAATCTGGCCCCAAAGGCAGGAAACTGTTTTCAACCAGTGTGACTTATGATTCAGTTAGATAAATATAGACTCTGGATTTAATGGTCTTAAAGGGGACCAATATTTAGATTGTGATGTGTGTTATTACTTTGAAATGTGGCAAAGCAGCCCAACAGTGTTTTGTGGCCCTTCTGTTCCTTCTTTTGAGTGGGGCCCGGCGCCTCTGGCCCAAAGCCCTGCCCTCTGGCTTGGTGTGACCAGAAATCAAACAGCAGGGTTTACCTGAGAGTAAGTTCTACTGAGCACAGTGGGGTATACTTCCACGTAAACAAGCATAAAATTGCAAGGCATATGAAACACTCATGCTTTGGTTTGCCGCCCCACCCATTATCCTATATACAAGTGCTACTATTCACCTCTTTACTGTGACCTTTGAAAAACAAAGAATTTATTTTGGTTTCCTCCCTGTAATGCGTTGCACAGATGACTGATTGGGGGGGATTTGGTTGGTTTGGATTTTTTTGAAAAAGCATTTTATTTGTTTTTATATGTTGTAACCCACCCTATAGGGACACGGGTGGTGCTGTGGTCTAAACCACAGAGCCTAGGGCTTGCTGATCAGAAGGTTGGTGGTTTGAATCCCCACAATGGGGTGAGCTCCCGTTGCTCAGTCCCTGCTCCTGCCAACCTAGCAGTTCGAAAGCACGTCAAAGTGCAAGTAGATAAATAGGTACCACTCTGGCGGGAAGGTAAACAGTGTTTCCGTGCACTGCTCTGGTTTGCCAGAAGCGGCTTAGTCATGCTGGCCAAATGACCCGGAAGCTGTATGCCAGCTCCCTCGTCCAATAAAGTGAGATGAGCGCCGCAACCCCAGAGTCGTCCGTGACTGAACCTAACGGTCAGGGGTCCCTTTACCCTTAACCAACCCTAGGACCTCCTGGTGAAGGGCAAGTAAGACATACAATGATTAATATACAAATAATGATATTGGCAATTGTAAAATGTAGAAAGCCTGACATCTTCCACAGTTCCCTACCACTAAGGCAGGCAAAAGTTGCACCAAACTGGATTTCTCCAGCATGGATCCTTTGAGATGGAGGTGGTGGCAGGCAGGAATTGGTGGAGCTTATGCTTTCCCCTCTTTCCTCTATATAACATCAATTTCTTTAAATGACTTCTAGAATTTGACAAGGTAGGCACAAAATTCAGGGCAATGTCTGAGGTGCTTCAGTCCTATAGTTTTGATCTGTGGCTTCTAATTTCAGCAGCCTCCCTAGTCCTTCAGAGTACTGTGTCTACTTTGTGAAGCTTGGCAGTGAGCAGATGGGCCTGCTAACACTCATTTTATTTAAAAGTTTAAGAGGAGACAGTGGCTTTAGTCTCTCCTACACATTTTTACAGTGCCCTCAGATGCTCTGCTGAGCTCAGCAATGCAGGAAATGGAATTTAAACACGAGCACAGAAAACTTCTTATTAATGCTTCAGTTTATTGCACTGCTATGTAAATATTGGAATTGTTTTACACCTCAGTCAGTTGCTAATCAGCAACTATACTTACCTCTCGTATACAGTGATAAAGGCTCCAAAGTGCTCAACAAGCATCTATTCCAGGAATGGTGAACCTGTGGCCCTCCAGATAATGTTGGACTACAACTCCCATTATTCCCGATCATTGGCCATGCTGGCTGGGGGCTGATGGGAACTGGAGTACAACATCTGGAGACCCACAGGTTCTTCACCCTGGCCTACTCAGAAATGAGAAGAAGGGGCTTCCTTTACACTGTTATGCTCTTCATATTCAACAGTATTGCACAATGCCCATTTTGCAGAACGACCCAGTCTATCTGCACCAGATAGATCTACTATCCAGTGAATAAGGAAAGGACTGTCATAAGACACGGGCAGAAAAGGGCTGATGTACCTAACCTAATCATGAGCCAAAAATACACCATCAAGGGTTCCGATATTTGCTGCTTTTGAAGGACTGCAAAAGGCAGAAGGTGTGGGGGGTTGTCAAGCACTAGGCAGGTCACAATGCAATGCAGTGCTGCCCTTGATATCTGGCTGGCACAAAGTATGAAGACCTGATCTAACTGTTCAGTGGAGATAATTGCTATTCTAAAGTCTTTCCACTATGAAACACACACACACAAACCCCAACACCACACATTTATGTGACACCAATTAAGAATATCCATGAAGGATAGCTGGGCGTCAATTGCAATTTCCAAATGTTTGGCAGATTTCTAATTGCCACATCAATGGAAATGACACCCTCTCTTTTGAATTCATTTTTCCTAATGAGATTGGGGGCGGGGGTTGAATTATATTATTGCTACTGCTCTTATCAGGAGAAATGAAAGGCTATTTCAGTTTAATTAAACACTGCAGTTGCAGAGTGTCTGATTATTGTTATTACCATTATTAAATTGCCTGTGGGGAGAGCTGGGTGGCAATATGCTACGAATATTGACAGTCTGGGGTATTTCACCTATCAGTCGTCCAGCTCTATAGACCCAGCCAAGCAAGCTGTCAGAAGGAGGGCAACAGTTGCGCTTTTACAAGCCCCCTTAACTTTTAAGTGGACTACACCCACATTCCGTTTATATCTAAGAGAGGATCCAGAAATTTGTTGGCTACAAATCATCCAAAGTCAACACAGCGACTACATATATACATGCATAAAATGTGTAGGTACAATGAAATGATGGTGACCCACCTCAAAACAGATAGGCCATAGAATCAGCATGAAAATAAGTGATTGATTGATTGATTGATAGATAGATTAAAGCATTTTTATCCCCACTGTTCAGTCAAAAGAGGCTTCTGGAGCGATTTATAAATGCCAGTGATAAGAGAGTCCTATCCTCAGGATCCTTGATCCACTGGGCAGCCATAAAAGCATGGAGGTAACAGAAGGCCCTGCAGTCGTGGTGTACAATAATGTGAGAGTAGTACAACTGCACACCCACCCACAGGATGTTCCATGGAACCACCTGAGCTTCAGCAACATCCACTTTGAAGATCACTGATCATCCAGCTTGCATCAGCAACGTGTGTGATGTGCCAAACTCCATTCATGACTTTGTTGCAACATGGAGGAATTTCAGAAGTTTCAAGATTATTTTACCCTTCCTGTTCCTGGGAAAGTGCTTCTGGATTTTGTGGGTTTGGGGGGGTTAAAAAATGAAAGCAAGACAAAGGGTTTATTCTGATCTCAGCATCTAAACACTCAGTTGTCCCCAGAAATAATTTTGCCCTGGGAGAACAAACTTGCTGTCATTACTGCTCAGCATGTAGAACCCTAGAGATACAGAAGCAGCATGAGCCAAATACTAGTTTACAGGCTAGCAAAGCCATTGTTATTGTACCTGACTGCTGTGCTAAACACCGTGACAGAAATGCTATGAAATCTTTTCTTCCCCCTGATGTGGAAATATGTACCTCTTCTCCTAGTTCTCTCCAGGAGAAATCTCTCTTTCAGGATTTGCAATTCACACTGGGCTGGGCGCAATGCTAATTCGTAGTGTTACAAGCCATCCCTATTTCCACAACAGTGAGAGATTTCAAGGGTTCCAGGCGTTTATCCAGGGTCTGTGTTTCCTTTGGAAATGAGGCACAGCAAGAGACCATGGCGTCTTTATGATATACGGTATTATGTAAACATATATACAACCTTAGTCTAGATGGCGGGAGTACAGAACATTCACGTCCCAAGAGGGTCCTATTCCTGCCATTGCTGCAGCCTCAGATTCCAGGAACCCCAAACATCATGGCTGGCTCTCTCTACAGCATAAAACAGATGACCCACCTGGAGCTCTGC